CGCCTTAAACACTAACTATGGGACATGGAGAGAGGGAGCCTGGGTACCCCATGGTGAGAGCCCAAGCATCCCCTCTGCTTCAAGACTCATTGCAGCCGTGGCCACCCAGGTTTACATGCTCCATTCCAGAAGCAGGTACCCCTGCAGCTGCGGCAAGTCCCCAAGGGTGAGGTCTTCCAGCCTCCCAGGCAATACCTACAGCATCTGGAACCCATGGATTTCCTCGGCAAGGCTAAGGTAAAGCACTAAGGTGTTTTCCAGCTTGGGTACCCAGCTACCAAAATGGCAGCTGTAGCCTGTGTCAAACTCACGGTGCGGTGGCTCCCACACTGGACATCCAATGTGTTTATGAGGTGTCGTTCAGGCCACTGGAAAGTCAGACAGGTAAGAGAGTGGGCACACAGCTCCTAGGGTTGGGGTTGGGTGTTCATACATGAGGATAGCCCCGGAGGCAGAACTTACCCAGAAGTAAGTCAGTTTTAAAGGAGAGGGCTCAGGTCTTTTGATGGGAATCCCTATTGGTGCCCCTCCCCACCCCCGTACTCTTCTCCCAGATGCTCCCAGCGTCTGTGCGTCTTCACGTATTTCTGTTTCTGCATCTCTGGTACAGACAGCAAGGGATGTGGTGGCCAGCCTGGGCCATGTCAGGCCCCCTAAACTACAGGCTATGGGGGAGTATCCCACCTTCAAATATAAGAGAGGAACTCAAAAGACTCGTCACTTGGATGTCATTTAGAGTGTCACAAAGAGAGGCCAACTTGGTATTGCATTGATGACCCCTGGGCTGGCCACATACCTATGGTCATTGACAACAGCCCTTGTGCTGGACCAGCACTGTGTGACCATGTGCAGCTGCCTTAGGTGTGCACTGCCTGTGCCTGTCGCCTGAGGTGGACTGCGTACAGATGGAAAGGATATGACCTGTGCATCCATCAGAGTTCACTTAGATGGCTGTTACAAGAAACAAGAATATGTAAAAACTTGTACTAAAATTAAATTGATATTATCAGTACAGGTTTCTCTTGGTCATCTTTTTGTTTTGTTTTGCTTTGTTTTCGAGACAGGGTTTCTCTGTAGCTTTAGAGTCTGTCCTGGAACTGGCTCTTGTAGACTAGGCTGGCCTTGAACTCCCGAATGCTGGGGTTAAAGGCGCACACGACCACCACCAGGCTTTTTTTTTGTTGTTGTTTAAAGCCGTAGTGGTCCAGCAGTCTTGAGCTAGGCGTAGGCAGCCCACACCCTGCAGACTACAGCTACAGAGGTACCAGGAATTGGGGACCTGGAGGAGCAGCCTCAGTGGGGCCCTAACCCAGCTGTATTCCTGCCCCCACTAGGTGGTGGCTTCTGTTACCCCTGACAACCGCAGCGCAGACGGCTGGTCTCAGAAGGTAGGTGGGTAGGCATCGATATGATCTCTGCCTGGTTTGTAGAACTGTGCGCTGATAAGGAAACAAAGCCTAGGCAGGCTGGGTCCAGGGCTTGAGTTGCATCCTGGGAAAGCCTTGGGAGTGAGGGCCCCCTCCTCCTATGGCCTTAGACTTAGACCTTCAAAGAGCTGGCATCCACCACACCCCCACTCTTCCTGAGGAACAGCTCTGACCTGGCAGGGATGACTGGTCACTTCGGTTCATTCACCTGTCATGAACCAGAGCAAGCGTAAGCTTCTGGGAGGGCAGGCAGCTCTTGGACAGCCAGGCTAGGGACATGCTCAGTCAGCCATGGTGGCCTGACACCAGGGGATGAGCTAGCAGGGCCAATTCACTGGCACATACTCAAACCCACCACAGGGACCCGACGGGGGCTGTCAACAGAAGGTTGGAGCCTCTGTTGGACATACAGTGATCACAAGACTGCCTGGGCAAGACAGGTCAGAAGGCCCAAACAATGCCAGCCTCCATCCTGGCCATTGCAAATCGTCAGAGCCCCTTGTGCCTGGGTAAGGAGTGGTTAGGCAGAAACCCCTGCTGCCCTAGTGCAGCCCTAAGAGCCAGGTGAGAGTTTAGGCGAAGGTGTGACGTCAGCGATGACAGGACACAGGACGTCACCTCCACCTCTTTTCTCTCCAGTATTCAGTTCATCCCAGTCCAGCAGTTCAATGTCCTTTACAGCTGTACTCAAACCCCCAGGTCCTTAAACCTGCATCTCCGAGCTCCTGCCCTGGGCTGTAAACCTCACGAGGGCCAAATGTTGCTTTCCCATAGTCTCCTTTTAAACCTAGTTCACAAGCCATGTCAATGAGTGCCCAACAGAGGCTAGCGGTTTCTACCTCCTCACCAACTCAGGGCACCCGAGGCTGGGCACCTCCTTAGAGCCTGTCCTGGGTTTCTCGAGGTCCATGGAGAAACCACCAAACCGGAGTCAGGGATCAGTAGAAGGCCTGGGGAGCAAGCTGACTCCCCACCATTGGGAAATAGTGCTAGGCAACCTGTTTGTGGACTCTAGACCTATGAGGACTCAACCCTGTCCCCAGATGTGTCTAGAGTTTGGGACTACCACGCATTTACTCCCAAACTTCCTGCCAACTGTTGGCCAAGCTCCCAGACCACGTCCTTAACCGCTGGCGGTGCCAGGGTAAAGCCTAAGGAGTTTCTCCCTTGAGACCAAACCCACCACCTCAAGACCTCTCTACTTTAGGTCCCACCCCAGGACCACACTCTTCCGGGGAGATGCAGTTTGTTTATAAAATTCAACAGAGGTAAAACCACATCGGGGGAAGTCTAGGAAACGTCACCACACAACTATGACACTTACGGATGCAGAGTTGATCACTAGAAAGTAGCCAGGTTACCAGTTTCAATGAGAACTGAGCACTTCAAAGGGGGGAGGGGAGAGGCTGTGGATATGTTTATTCTCCTTGACTCATGGTAGAATTAGAGCTATGTAAATTGAAAACAAGAACTCATGCTTGGAGCAAAACCCTCCTGAGGACTGAAATCTGAATTGTAGAACTTTGAGGAAAAGGTGACCTCTCTACTGAAACTTGGCATAACGTTTGGCCTGGACTGTACTTTACACTTAGCCATGCCATGCTTGTGTAACTTCTTGACACACAAAGCAGGCTCTCAACATCCAGTTAAACATGCTTTTAAGTGGAAGGTGGTAGCCCCACACCCTAAGCTGGGCACATCTGTAGACAGGCTCCTTATGTTGATTAAATTCCCTCCCACCTGGAGAAGAGCTGGCAAGCTAAATAATAAAAACACTGGCATGCATTCAAATCGTGCAAAAATAAATTTTAGACAATTTATGCAAAAACAGCTCTGTATAATGTGAGATGTCACAAAACCAACTAAACAAACTGTGTCCAGACCGCCGCAGGTGGTGTGTGTGAAGACCAGTTCAGAACAGAACAGCAACAACAAAAACCCCTTTCTCAGCTCAGGACAACGCTCACTTCCTTGTGGCTCAGATCCACCCTTTTCTCCTGCCGCCTAGGGTCCCCCCCCCCCCCAGCTTTCTGACTCACCTGAGCTGCCCCATCTGTTGAGGTCCTGCTACCTCTGTCTTCCTTTGCAGAGGTCCGAGATGGAGCAAGTTGGCCATCAGTCTCCTGCGTCTATGGGTAAGAGGATTCCAAGCAATAGGGGGAGAGGGAGCCGCCTCGGGAGAGCTGGGACATGGGCACTTGTCCCTTAAAGTTTGGGGCAGAGGACAGCTGCCTGCCAGTCATTCATCACTTCAAAGTATCTTCTTTGTGGAAAGGTGGTCACATGAACCGTGCTCTATGCTACAGCTTGCTGGCATCTGGAGGGCCTGACCCAGGCCCCCCTGAAGACTCCTCGGAAGCTGGGGTAAGAGCTATGCTCTCCAATCCCTCCCCACCAGCCACTTGAGGCAAAGGCAGCCCTCGCTCAGATTCTATTTTCCTCCTTTTAGTCCAGTCCCTACTCTGACCCCTTGGGTACAAGGGCCACCCTGCCTTCAAAGGCTATGCAGCCCTGTTTCTGTCCTCAGGGAGCAGCTGCCGAGGACCCTGAATCCCTGGTGACTGTCACTGTGCAGTGCCACCTCACTGTGCCCCTGAAGGCCCCAAGAGGCACTGACCTGTCCGGCCTTCGAACACTGCTGGCTCAAGCCCTCCTTCACCAGGCCCAGATGGGGCAGCTCAGGTGAGTCAGAAACCGAGAGGGAGGGGACCCTAGGCTGCGTGAGAAAAGGGTGGATCTGAGCCACAAGGAAGAGAGAGCTGTCCAGAGCTGAGCAAAGGGGATTTTTGCTGCTGTTGTTCTGTTCTGAACTGGTCAGTTTTCCGGCCCAGGAAGGGATCAAAGCTAAGGCCTTCTTAGCTCTATGCCTAAGATCCTAGGCAGTCACTGGAAGTAAGGGCTGGGGCTGGAGAGAGACCGAGGTTAACTTCCTTTCGGGGGAGACACAAGGAACTCCCCTACATACTGTCGCACACACTCAGGACCCCCTTCGCAGTTACCAGGCCCCACGAGAGAAGTTCTGGACCCCAATCTCCACAGAGGACGCACTGCAGAGTGCATGGAGGAATGTGGCCGTGGGCCCACGAGGGTTGCATCTCCAGTGCCAGGTGAGGCGGGGGAAAGGCTGTGATGCCCACCAGCCCCGGCAGGTGGAGGGGAAAGCCCCTCTCTTGTGCCACCCCTGAAGCCCACCCTTCTGCCACAGGGGGCCTGGGGCCGACCAGTCCTCTACCAGGTAGTAGCTCGGCACAGTTACGCAGCCCGAAGGCCTGAGGACTTGGACTTCCGCCAAGGGGACACAGTGGATGTTCTGTGTGAAGGTAGAACAAGACGGCCCTTCCCCCACGCTGCTGGCTTGCCCAGACCTGGTGGGAGCTCTGTTCTATAGGGTTTGGTTTTGGCTGTAAGCAGACACACCATCCAGCATGTCTCCACAGTGGACGAAGAATGGCTGGAGGGACACCGAGACGGCTGCATCGGGATTTTCCCCAAGTGCTTTGTGGTCCCAGCTGGTGCCTGTGCTGAAGCCGGAGCCAGTCCAGGACCCAAGCCAGCAGACCAGCACTAGCAACATTGTGACAAGATCACTTTTAATTTAAACAAACAAAAAGCTATCCCCCTCATCCCTGTGTGGTCTGCCTTCTGGGGTTGATAAAGAAGATCAAACTATCCCCCTCATCCCTGTGTGGTCTATCTCCTGGGGTTGATAAAGAGGATCCAACCAAAAGTTTTTGGCAGAGGGAAGCTGGCTGGCCCACAGACCTGGATTCTGGCTGCCTGGTCTAGCTTGATTATAGCGAGGAAGCAGGGGCTTCTGCTGGGCTGGCCACGCCTACAGAGGTAGCCCTAATCCTGCTAGACTGGCCACAGCCCTCTGAGGTAGCCCTAGTCCTGCTGGGCTGGCCACAGCCTTCAGTGGTCGCCCTGTCCCACAGCTGCCCCTTCCCAGAGCCTTCCTGTTACCATCCCTTAGAAGACTACACACCCCATAGCTAGAGCCACCCTGAGGGCAGAGGGGAGTCAGTACTATCAGGAATTGGCCCACTTGGTCTGCTTGATGGACTGGAGCCCTAAAAGGTCAGGGGTTCATGAGGGCAGGCATCCAAGATGTGCCCAGTAGGTCCTGTGTGCCAAAGGCTTCCTTTCCTGATGGTTGATGGTGGCTCACAAGGTAGACAACACAGACTTTTATACTGTGGCCGCTGCATCCGAACGCTGTCCCTGCTTTCGATGCGGAGCAGCCTGTGATCTATTTCCGCTTGGTTTCCCCTAGTCCTGGGTCCAGAAGAGCTGGACTGCAACTGCTCCTAGAATGGCCACCAGGGTCAGCACTGCAAACACCACTCCGGCTGTCCAGATGCTGTAGCTCTGCGCCCGCCACTGGGTCGGTGCCTCCGCTGGAATCATGCCTGTGAGGTTCAGCATGTAGCCCAGGGTCCAGCCGATGTCCATGCCCCCTGCCTGTGAGACACACGGCTGCTCAGGGCTGCCGGGTGGCTGCCCGAGGCCCCACCCCCTTCTCATCCCGAACCAGACATGCTGAGGCTCTGGGTGGCAGTCACCTGCTTCTGGAACTGGATGTTGGGCCAGGTCTCCTCGCTGAATTTGTAGCCCTCCAGCAGCAATACAAGGATGTACAGGCCTGAGGCACAGTAGTCCCGTAGCCAGCGTTCCTGCCCGGGGTAACTGGCTTCCACCTTGAATTCCAGAAGCCGATGTAAAAGTGAGTCCCCAGTACTTCCTAAGACTCCCCCTCCCCAGCTATAGTGGGACCTCCATACATCCATACAGTCTCCAGACAGCAGGAAAGTGTTAAATGCTTTTTTTAAAAAAAAGTCCTTCTCTAAGTCCCCATGGAGACCATCCTCCAGCTAAGAAGGGGGTGGGGTAGCTAACGTCATGACAAACAGAAGCTGATCCCATCAGGGTTCTGGATTTCTTTCTACCACAAACAAGCCACTCTCCCTACCACGGCATTTTCCTTCCCAATCCTGGTACCTAAACATGGCTTTGCCGCGAATCTCTGTCCAGGAAAACCCAATAAGACCCCAGAGGCCCTGCTTGCTTATGGTGCGGTGTGGAGAGGGTGCTAGGGCTGCATCCAGGGTCACATCACCTACCAGTTTCCAGGGTGTCTGACAGAACTTCCACACGGTTTCATTGACCATGTTTAGTGGCTGCCTGGAGGTGAGGTTCAGGAAGTGGAAAGTATAGTAGAAGTTGGAAAATGCCTGGGGGAAATAAAGAAGGCCGTGTCAGCCTGAGGGAGACCCAGGACACTTCAGTCAAGTATCTGCCCCGCCCCCCCCCCCCGCCCAGTTTCGGAATCCCTAAGAGCCAGCCGGGGCACCTCAGAAGGACACCTGGGGTCCCCGAAGGAAGCCAGAGCTGGAAGGGAGGGGAACGTGCTTACATAGAACTGGCCATGTACAGGAGGCTGGTAGACTCCATTGAAAACACAATCTTGGTCCTTACAGCTGGAGGAGTTGAAGAGATTTCGGAGGGCCGCCACACAGTCCCTGGGGTTGCCTGTCCCTTCAACCGTGAGGTTCTGTGTGAAGTTCAGGAAATCTGTAGTGTGGACACAGGGCGACTCATACAGCGGGACCAGTGACAGTGTGGCCTGGTAGCCGCTATGGTAGCATGGGTGTTGGACCCGGGGTGCTGAGCTGTTCTGCTGAGAGAGGAAACACCATGAACTCTAGGCTCTGGTACACTCCCCGACTCTACCCCCATGCCATCCCAGTTCTCCACCCTTCCAATACCAGCCTAACCTGTGCCAGCTCAGCCAGGAGCCTTATCAGGACCTGGTCCCGCCCAAAACAGAGGTAGCTGTGAGTATAGACGCTGTAGTTGGCCCCGTACAGCCGGAAGGTAACCTGGTTGCTCTGGTTCAGGATGGGGCCCTGAGGCACGAAACTGATCTGGGTGGAGGCTCCACCCAGGTCCAGAGCACCAACCAGCATCCTCTCTTCAGGCAGAATCCACTGTCCAGAGGAATACTGACCACAGAGGGAATGCTTAGCTCTGGGCAGCTGCTGGTCCCAGCCGCCGGCCAGCGAGCTGCAGGCACTGGTCTCTCAGACCAACCCCTCACCCTTGGGCTGCCCGTGCACCTGGAGGAGCAGTCCCAGGACATAGTTGATAGTGATCCAACCAAAGGCACCTTCATCCTGCCCAGCCAGGATCTCGGCACCCCAAAAATCCACAGGAGACTTGCTTAGTGTCAGGGAGACTGCAGCTAGGATGTCTCTTGCCTGAGAGCTGTTCTTCTGACTGGGTAGAGGGGACCATGCTGGAGGAAAGCCTCACCCCAACCTCCACTGCACCTCACCCCAGGGTATTCAAGTCTGGCTTTTGGGAGTGACCCTAACAGATGCAACCTGGTACTACCTCACCTGAGCAGCCTCATGCCTGCGGTGGCCCCCAAGAATGTGGGCGTCTCTTGATGCTGGCTCTGTGGGATCAATGCCAGCGCCTCCTCCAGGCAGCTCTTCAGACTTTCCCCAGCCTGTGTTGGGTCAGAGGCGTAGGAAGCGATCCCAGGTCCTGAAACACAGTACCCTAGGAAAAGGCTCCAGATCTGAAGGTTGGGACTCAGGGATGGCCCCCAAGGACATCATCACATCCTAATGCTTGGAACCTGTGAATGTGACCTTTTATGGAAGAAGGAAGGGTTCTCAGGTTTAGTTAAGGATTTTCGAATGGGGCTTGTTTATCATCGTAGTACTCAGGAGGCTGAGGCAGGAGGATAGAGGGTTCAAAGTCTTGGGCTACACAGCAAGACTCTGTCTCAAATAACAACAAAGGAAACCTACAAACAAGGCTAGTGTGTTTGTATAGTGCATTCCAAGTCTCGTGACTACAGTCCCTACAGGGAAAGGTGGGAAACCCTAAGTTTCTCCCTCTTCGGGACTTCTAGAGTATGGCTCTGCCACCCCCAGGCCTCAGGCTTTTGATTCTAGAACTGAGAGGAAGCCCAGGAAATGAACTCAGGACCCAGCACTTGATGGCTTCTGTTATCAGTGTGGTGTGGTACCTAAAAGAGATGCCCCAGGACACCAGAGAAGGCAGATGTGGGATCAGACAGGGAGCTGTTAGCCACAGGACCTGGGGGAGGTGCAGTGTCTGAGAGATCCGTGTGTGTATTCCCCATCGGAGACAGCCCAACCGAGTGACCCCGCCTCTCACTTCATGGCTCTGTTGAGGTGCCTTCCTGAGGACTAGAAATGTAGCTTCCACCGTCGTCAAGTGATCCTCCTGGCGTTGCCCGGGAGTCCAAGCCAGGTAGCAATGACCTACTAGGGGACTGCCCACTGACCTTCTATCTGGCAAGCCAGGGTCTGACTGACTACTCCGGTGTCCTTCTCCTTGTTTGCTGGCCACTGGTACACAAACAGGGATGTGTGGGAGGAGCCAGCGTCAAACACGATTCCAAACTAAGGACAACATTGGGATCAAACAGGTGTGGAGGCCAACATCCTGGTCACCCAGCCCAACCCTCTCAGCAGGTCCCTGAGCCAAACCTTGGTGTCTGCAGGCAGGAAGACGTTGGTGGCCTTCACCAGGACGAGTAGGAGCATGGTGAGGCCCGAGGCTGCTGCGATCCCCAAGAGGGCTACAAAGACCCGTTCCTTCCGGGAGAGTCCCATGGCAGGAGGGGCGAGCTGCAAGGGTCAGGTGGGTGGCAGTGGACACTCAGACTCCACCTGCTGTCCCAGCCCCATCCTTTTAGAGGCAGGGTCTTAACACGTCCCAATTTTCCTTAGATGTTGTCAAATCTGAGATTCAGACAGCCTCCCTTGGCCAGGATAGTAGCCAGGACAGTCACAGTTTAAAAAGGCCAAGAGCAGTGTCCAGAGTCCAGCTGGGCAGGCCTAGTATTGTCACAGAGCCTGGGGGCCAGTACACAGCCTGGTGGAGCCAGGACAGTCATTTCTGATGCCACTATCAAAGCTAATGGAGTCCCAGGTGAACCCCCTAAAGAAGCCTTGCCTTCTCTCTCCTTCTGGGCCTCTGCTCTCTTGACTCCCCATGAGGAGCCCCAGTTCTGAACTGAACCCAGGGCTTCATGGCAGGGTCTTCTCTTTGGGAGCCTCAAGGCCAGACCTATGCCACTTGGAGTCCAGGGACCAGATGTGGGTCCTTCACAGTCTGTGCTTCTTAACAAACACATCTGTTTCTTTTGGAAATCCTAAACTTGGGTTCCTCTGATAGGGATCTGAGAGAGTTTAGCTGACCCCAGATGAACCTGGGCAGCTGACCAAGGAATGTTATTATCCTTGGTACCCAGGAGAGCTACACCCCCATCTCCACTGGAGCCCAGCAGGGCTTCTGAGTCCGTACCTACTCCAACCCACCAATGTGAAGAGAGGTCAACCCTGTTTCACGGTAATCCACACAACGGATGCTGTTGCTCACAGGACTGGTCAAAGCCAGAGTGTTCCCTGAGACTCCAGCAGTTTGAAAGTCTGTGACTTCGTATCTCGAGGCATATCTCCCAAGAATGAAGACATTCCCAGTGTTTCGTGAGTGACAGGCAGAGGACCCCTAGGAACAGGCTAAGTGAAGCACAAGCCCATCTGAAAGATGGGAGATTGTGGAAAGAACGGACAAAAGACCCAAACAGCACCCAAGTCCAGTGATAAATGGGCCACGGCGAGGAACCAAGAAGACACAGATCCCACCTCGGAATGTAGCCCCCGAGGTTAGGTAGTCATAAAAACAGGACGAGATAGGCTCCCCTCACCCAGGACAGGCAGTCTCCTACCAAGCGAGCCCACAGACCAGGACAGCCCCTTGGGCCCCTCACCTGAGCTGGAAGCCAACCTTCAAGGGTAGCTGGAGGAAGTTCTGTTCTTGGGTGCAACTGACCTGTGCACCTGCTGTCCTCCACACCCTGTCTCCGCCCACTTGAGCCTGGGGCTGTGGTAGGAGGGGCGGGTCCACTTTCTGTCTGCTGCTCAGGGTCTGATGGCTACCGTTTTCCTCTGCACCATCATCAATTCCAGGCTTTCGTTTTGCTCCTGGGGAGGGAGGAAGGGCAGTGCTCCTAGTGCTCGGGTTGAACTTTGGAACTTTCCCGGGAATGACAGAGAAGGTAGGACTGGGGACCCCCTCCCGCCCCATTACCGTGGACCTTGCCCTCTGTCCTGCTCACTTGGGCCAGGCCAGAGCAGAGTCAGGGAACAGGTGACGGAGCATCCTGGACTGGAGGCTGCGTGCTACATACCTGCAAAGGTAAGAGGGCCAGATGAAGCCATTCTCCTTTAGACCTGTTGAGTTTTTTTTAAAAACATAAGGTACAGGACCTGGATATAGTTCAATTGATCGAATTATTCCCCTATCAGACACAAGCCCTGTGTTTGAGCCCCAGAACCATATGAAGCCACATGTGTGCCTGGTGACAATCCTAGCCCTCTGGAGGCAGGAGGATCTGAAGTTTACAGTCGTCCTCTGAGTTCAAAGCCAGCTTGGGCAACATGAGCCCTTGTCTCAAAAATGATGAGAACAAATTGGAGCTGGAGAGATGACTCAGTCGTAAAGGGCTTGCGGTAGAAGCGTGTGGACCTGCGTTCAGAGGCACAGCACACACATAAAAGCCAGGTGTGGTGGCACACATCTGTAGACAGGGTCGGGGCAGAAGCAGAGGAATCTCCAGATCTTACTGGCTAACCAGTTTAGCTGAACTGGTGAGCTAGTTTCAGGTTCAGTGAGAGACCCAGTCTCAGATGGGTGGGTGGGTAGGTAGATAGATAGACAGACAGACAGACAGACAGACAGACAGACAGATGGTGTCCTAGTTAGGACTTCTGTTGCTGTGAGAAAATGCCATGACCAAAAGCAGCTTGGGGAGGAAAGGGTTTATTTTGCTTACACTTCCAGGGAACAGTAGCTCATCCCTAGGGGAGTCAGGACAGGACTCAAGCAGAACAGGAACCTGATGCAGAGGCCATGGAGAAACCTGCTTACTGGCTTGCTCTTTCAGGCTTGTTCAGCCTGATGGAGGAGGGTTATCTGTCTATTGTGTTATTTTCATTGGTCAATAAAGAGACTGCCTTGGCCCCTTGATAGGACAGAAAATTAGGTAGGCGGAAAAAACAGAGAAGAATGCTGGGAAGAGGGCTATGAGGCAGAAGCCATGGAGCCAGCCACCAGGTCAGACATGCTGAATCTTTTCCGGTAAGCCACACCTCGTGGTGCTACAAAGATTATTAGAGATGGGTTAATATCTAGATATGAGAGTTAGTCAGTAACTAACTCTCTAGAGATAATGGGCCAGGCAGTGCTTAAATGAATACAATTTGTGTGTTGTTATTTCTGGGACTAAGCTAGCCGTGTGGGAGCCGGGTGAGGCGAAAAGCAGGCCTGCCCGCAGCCCCTCACTACATCAGCCTGCCTTTTTATACAACCCAGGATCACCAGCCCAGGGGCAACACTGCCCTCCGTGAGCTGGGCCCTCCCACATCAATCATTAATCAAGAAAATGCTCTACCGGCTTTCCCACAGGCCAATCTGTTCGGGACACTTTCTGAGCAGAGGTTCCCTCTCCCAAAATGACTCTAACTTGTGTCAAATCGACATAAAAACTGGCCAGGACAATTGCCCTTGCAATCTTGAGATACACATAACTGTTAAATACCTTCCTTTCTTAGTCATCCCAATATTTCATATTAATAATATCACAGTATAAAACATTTCAACTTTTAAAAGTCCCACAGGCTTTAAAAATTCAAAGACTTTAAAAGTTCAGTCTTGTGGTCGGATTTTCTTTGGGTCACCAACTTACAAATGACAACACAGAGATTTATTATTAATTATAAAACCTTGGCATTAGCTTAAGTTTGTTCCTAACTAGTTCTTAGAACCTAAAGTAATTGTATTTTTTATTTTTTTAATCTATGTATTTTTTAATCTATGTTCTCCATGAGGTTAGTTACCTCATCTCTATGCTACCCATCCTGCTTCCTCTGCATCAGACGACAACTCCATCTTTCTTCTCCGAGTCCGCTGTGTTCCACCTAACCTCTTCCTGCCTAGCTATTGGCCAGCCAGCTCTTTATTAAACCAATCACAAGGTGCCTTGGCAAAGACACATCATCACACTGTACACAAATGTTTAGCCATGTAGCCTCTTTAAAATACAAAGTCTCTTTTAAAGTCCCAGCCTCTTTAAAATTACCATTTCCTAAAACATGCAATCTCTCTAAATATATGAAGTCTTGTAAAATAAAAAATAACTACACACTTTCTTACTTCAAGAGAGAAAAGTTAGGACACAGTCATTGTTAAGTTGGGAGCGTAGGTCTTAGTGCCTTGCATCTATTCTAGCCCTCTGGCCCTGAGAGTTAGCACTCTGGACTCCAAATCCCAGTAGGCCAGATCCTGAGCCCTCCCCCCCTTCCCACACACAGAATATTTAAGTGAACTCCCAAAAGAGGAACACATGGTCTCTTTTCCTTCCTCTCAGTGGTCTTGGGGCCACCCAAGAGTGCAGAACGCCCATTAAACCTGGATATCTTTTAATTTGACTTGTTTTGATTTGGCTTGATTGGGATTTTGCGTCGGCGGAGAGCTTGCATTAGGAAAATATTCCTAACAGTCATAGTCAAATGAAATCAAAACCAAAATTCAACAGCTTAAAAACTGCTTAGCGGACGGTGGTGGTGTGTGCCTTTAATTCCAGTACTTGAGGCAGAGGCAGGCAGATCTCTGTGAGTTCGAGGCCAGTGTCATCTAAAGAGAGAGTTCAAGGACAGTCAGGGCTACACAGAGAGGTCATGTCTCAAAAAACCGAAAAAAAAAAGTTCAATGCTTGACGTCCAGGACCTATGGTCTCTCTCCAGCCTCTGCAGGATCTGGCCTCCAGATTAGCTTTTCAGGCCTGCCCTCGGCAACATACAGGTCGGCTCAGATCAGCCCCAGTGCATGGCTACTGCTGACCTCTGCAGTCACTGTGGTCCTGGCCTCTCCCAAAACACTGAGGTCTCTGCAGCTGGGCTGCATCTTCATCAGTAGCCTCTACTAGGCTCTCGCCTGGGACTCTGACTACCGCGTAGCGACAAGCCTCAGCAGCTCTCCAGCTTGTCAGTTCTGGCGCTTTGACTGCCACTGAGGACACACCTTCACCAATGGCCTCCCCTGGCATCCCTGAAACTCAGCACCAAGCCTCGGCAGCTCTCTGACTCCTTCCTGCCTCCAAAGTCAGTTCCACCTGTGTGGCTGCCAGCAGGAGGTTCAGCCCTAGCCACCTGTCTACCACAACTGCTGTGTGCTGACCCTGAGGAAACACTTCCCCGAAGAGTCTGCCTCACTGCTGTTGGTCTCTTCTGTTTTCTTTGGGTTTTGTTTGTTTGTTTTATTTTTTGAGGGTTTCTCTGTGTGGCCGTGGCTAAGGTGGAACTCAGTCTATAGACCAGGCTGACCTTGAACTCACAGAGATCTGTCTGCCTCCTGAGTGTTGGGATTAAAGGCCTGTGCCACCACCTCCCAGAACTTTAATGATTCTTAATTCAAAATGTCACATGAAGGACCCTGATGAGGTCTGAGGGGCACTCACAATTCTCTATTAAATTTTACATGGCAGGCTTCCATTGTCTAAATTCTTCCAACACTCATAGAACAACACACATAGAACAACCCGCTATTCAACAATCTATTCAAGGGACAAAACCAACTCCATTTTGTGCTAGGCCCCAAAGTAGATACCAGCAGAGCGGGAAGTTCCCTAGACTGGAGCCCAGATGCTCAGGACTGATATCAGCAGAGTCCCCTGGACTGGAGCCAATCAGAGAGTCACCCATACCCCTTATGCCCACAACAATAGATTTGTGATTTTTTTTTTTTTGCCTTTAAAACCCTGCCTAAGAATGGTGGGGCACCTCCTCTGGTCCCCACTGCATTGGTGTGCAAGACGAGGTCCCTATCACAATTTGTACTACAGGATTAAACCTCGCTTTTGCATTTCGGTGAGTCTGTGTCTCTGGTGTCTTTTTGGGATCTCCACGACCTGGGCGCTACACTATGAGCCCTGAGTGTGCACCAGCTTTTCCACCCCGAAGCTCAAATGCTACCACAAGCCTCCCAAAAACACGTGATCAAGTCTGTCAATACCTCACTCCTAGTGCTACTTTCTCTCTTAGTGAGGGCTTCTTGTTTTGTGTTTTTTTTTTTTTCAGAGGCAAGGTTTCTCTGAGTAGCTTTGGAGCCCATCCTGGAACTCACTCTGTAGACAAGGCTGGCCTCGAACTCACAGAGATCCGCCTGTCTCTGCTTCTCAAGTGCTGGAATTAAAGGTGTGCACCACCACCACCTGGTTGCTCGGTTAGGGCTTCTATTGCTATGATAAAACACCATGACCAAAAGCAGTCTGGGGAGAAAAGAGTTGGTTTCACTTATAGTTCCTGGTAACTGTCCGTCGTCGAAGGAAGTCAGGGCGGGAGCTCACGCAGGACTAGAGCCTGCTGCAAAGTCATGGAGGAATGCTGCCTACTAGCCTGCTCCTCATGGCCTGCTCACCCTGCCTTCCCACACCATCCAGGGGTGGTGCTCCCACAGTAAGCTGACCCCTCCCTCATCAATCACCGATCACAAAAGTGAAGGACAGGCTTGCCCTAGGCCAATCTAGTGGGGACATTTTTCTTTGGATCTAAGTTGTTTCATTTACCAATAAAGACTCGGGAGTCAGATGTTGGGGTGAAAACCTGCTAGATCGGAGAAGCCAAGAAGCAACCAGCCGAAGTTCCTTTTTGACCAGAGATCCAGCAAGACATCATCTCTCTATCTGTCCCAAACAAAAAAGGCCTGAGAATCTCTGAGTACCTCCCTAGTCCTTATGGTATGTCTCTCTATCCATCTTCCCGGGTCCTCCATACTCTGTATGGCTAACTCTTGTCAACCAGTTGTTGGCTCTGCCCCTGATTCAAGGTTAATTTTGTTAACACAGTCTTGAAGTTGTACAGTGTGACCGAAACAAACAAAAATATCCCCAAATAGGGTGTTTTCTCAGGTGAGGTTCCTTCTTCCAAAATGACTCTAGCTTGAATCAAGTTGACATGAAACTCGCCATCATAGATAGACAGACACAGGATAGAAAGCATTAGAGGAAGAGACATCTGGTATCTATTTCGGACCGAAGCATACCCACACATTATACACATGGACACAAACACAAACTACACAGAGACATAGAGTAAAAATGAAATTTAAAAAGGTAGCTTGCCGAGCCATGGTGCTGCATGCCTTTAATCCCAGCACTCGGGAAGCAGAGGCAGGCGGATCTCTGTGAGTTTGAAGCCAGCCTGGTCTGCAAGAGCTAGGTCCAGGACAGGCTCTAAAACTACAGGAAACCCTGTCTCGAAAAACAAACAAACAAAAACACAAAAACATTGTATAGAGTCTGTTACCACCTTTGCCAGGGTCTCCCATGCTGCCCTGTCCCACCATTTTGTCTCTCATTTGCTGCACAAGGTTCTTTCTTTGTGCCCCCATTGTGAACCCTGTGAAGAGGAAGTTCAGTTTTCTGTCCCATGGAAGAGGATGGAGGTCCCTACTTTTCTGACTGACTGAAGCTGCTGTCAACATTCTTGCAGAAAGAGTCTTGAACTTCAGCTTTATTTATTCAAGGGCACACAAAGCTGTTAGTGTTGGCACACACCTTTAGTCCCAGCACTCAGGAGGCAGAAGCAGGCAGATCTCTGAGTCCCAGATCACTATGGGCTACATAGAGAGATCCTGTCTCAATAATAATAATAATAAGAGCTCCCAGGAAAGGGATACTGGCATGCTTGGCAAAAGTCTGCTTAATCTGGTGTGAAGTTACTCATCACAGGAGATCCAGTTTTCAAAATTCCTGTCAGTTTTTACTTCTGCCCAAGCCGACATAAGGCATCAGTGTGGATTTTAATTGTATTTTCCTTGGGACTGAGATGAGCATCTTGTTCACAGGCCTACCTACATGTACTTATCACAACCCTTACTTTAAGACTCGGCTTAGAGGATCCTGTACAGTCTTGATCCTGGCTTCTTTTGACTGACAGTGCATGTTGGAGAAGCCATGGTAGCAGGGACTGGAGGCAGTTAGTCATGTATCATAAGTCAAGCCATAAAAGCAGGGGCCAGGCAGGGTGGCACATGCCTTTCTGTAGTCCCAGCACTGGGGAAGCACAGAGGCAGACCTGATCTACACACCTGACTCTATCTGGTGAGATCCTGTCTGATAAGGAGGAGGAATGACCACAGTTCCCAGTGCCACCAAGATGAATGAAGAGGCAATGGGGAGGTGGGAAAGGTGGAGGATTGAAATGGGGTTTTAATTTGGTTTTGTAATTTTTTAAAAATATTTATTTATTCATTATATATACAGTATGAAGAGGGCACCAGACCTCATTACAGATGGTTGTGAGCCACCATGTGGTTGCTGGGAATTGAACTCAGGACCTTTGGATGAACAGGCAATGCTCTTAATCACTGAGCCATCTCTCCAGCCCTTGGTTTTGTAATTAATATTCTTATTTGTATTTTATCTTTTCCTCTTTATTAATTCTTTTTAAGTTTTCCTACAAGGTAACGGATGGATACGGAGGGACTGGGAAATGAATGTGACTGAGGTGCAAGATGTGAAATTCTCAAAGAATCAACAAAAAATTATGTTGGGAAAAAAAAGAAGAGGAAGAAGCAAGGTGATGGTGGTGAAGGCCTTTAATGCCAGCACTCAGGAGGCAGAAGCAGGTGGATCTCTGAGAGGTCAAGGCCAGCCTGGTCTACAGAGTGCATTCCAGGACAGTCAGGACTATATAGAGAAACCCTGTCTAGAAAAAAACAAAACAAAACAAAATTTCCTCCGTTCCTCACCCCCCCCAAAAATTGGGCCCTTACCTTTACATTTAACCTCCCTCTCGTTCTTAGTACACAGATCAAATGCAGCTAAATTCTTTGCCAGAATATTATATGAATAGCCCCTAGCCTAGTTCCTAATAGAATCCTGTTCACCTCTGAAACCTCACAAACCCCTCTGCTGTCCATATTTCTCTTGGCATTCCTATCTTCCCACTTCCCACAAGAACCACCCATTATCCTGTACAATAAAAAAACTTCTGGAGGCATCACAATCCCTGACTTCAAACTCTACTACAGAGCTACAGTACTGAAAACAGCCTGGTATTGACATAAGAACAGACAGGAGGACCAATGGAACCGAATAGAAGATCTGGATATCAATCCACACATCTTCGAACACCTGATCTTTGATAAAGAAGCAAAAAATATCAAATGGAAAAAAGCATATTTAACAAGTGGTGCTGGCATAACTGGATATCAACATGTAAAAGAATGAAAATAGACCCATATCTATCACCATGCACAAAACTCAAGTCCAAATGGATCAAAGACCTCAACATAAAGCCAGCCACACTGAACCTTATAGAAGAGAAAGTGGGAAGTACACTTGAACGCATTGACACAGGAGACCACTTCCTAAATAGAACCCCAGCAGCACAGACACTGAGAGAAACAATTAATAAACTGAACCTCCTGAAACTGAAAAGCTTCTGTAAAACAAAGGACACCGTCAACAAGACAAAACGACAGCCTACAGAATGGGAAAAGATCTTCACTAACCCCACATCAGACAGAGGTCTGATCTCCAAAATATACAAAGAACTCAAGAAATTGGACACCAAAAGATCACATAATCCATTAAAAAAAAATGGAGTACAGACCTAAACAGAGAACTCTCAACAGAGGAATCTAAAATGGCTGAAAGACACTTAAGGAAATGTTCAACATCCTTAGTCATCAGATAAATGCAAATCAAAACAACTCTGAGATTCCATCTTACACCTGTAAGAATGGCCAAGATCAAAAACACTGATGACAACTTATGCTGGAGAGGTTGTGGGGTAAAGGGAACACTTCTGCATTGCTGGTGGGAAAGCAAGCTGGTACAACCCCTTTGGATGTCAGTGTGGAGATTTCTCAGTAAATTAGGAAACAACGTTCCTCAAGACCCAGCAATACCGCTTTTGGTGATATAGCCAAAGGATGCTCAATTGTGCCACAAGGACATGTGCTCAACTATGTTCATAGCAGCTTTATTTGTCATAGCCAGGACCTGGAAACAACCTAAATGCCCCTCGACCAAAGAATGGATAAGGAAAATGTGGTACATTTACACAATGGAGAACTACACAGCAGAAAAAAATAACAACAGCTTGAATTTTGCAGGAAAATGAATGGAACTAGAAAACATTATTTTGAGTGAGGTAACCCAGAGAGAGAAAGACAATTATCACATGTACTCACTCATAGGTGTTTTTTAAACATAAAGCAAAGAAAGCCAGCCTACAAACCACAATCCCAGAGAACTTAGACAACAATGAGGACACTAAGAGAGACTTACATAGATCTAATCTACATGGGGAAGTAAAAAGTAGAAAAAGACAAGATCTCCTGAGTAAATTGGGAGCGTGGGTACCTTGGCGGAGGATTGAAGGGGAGAGGGGAGAGGCAGGGAAAGGAGCAGAGAAAAATGTAGATCAATAAAAATAAATATCAATAAAAAATGTATAAAAAATGACAAGGGCCAAAGTCCATATACAGTTAGCCATACCCAAGACTCCATACTCCATATTGGATTGGAGGCAGAAGTATCCAGATCAGCAGTCTCAGTCAGGACCATAAGGAGAATTTTTTCCTGTGGAAGAGGGACATGGAAAGGACCGATCTTATTGTGTCTAGGCAAAAGTGGTGCAATCAATCCCCCAATGTCTTGTTATTTATCCTCAATCCAGGCTGGGTCCTGGCAGCAGATGCTGCATTGGTGGGCAGTGTCATCATACCCCAGTGGAGACATCATGGTGTCTCATAATCTTTGAAGACCTTGGGTCAGGGCTAAGATCTCGGAGTCTCTGTCTAATATAATAAGTTTTTTAATCATTATTTTAAATGTCAAATTCTGCATATCTCTGAAGTATTTGAGGGCTGCCTAGGGATATCTGATTAGACAAATTTTGTTTCCAGTTACTTGTTTTAAGTTTGACTTTGAAAACATATATAGGGGACTAAATAAGGTTTATCCCTATGATTAATTATGTCAGTGCTTTAAGGATGACTGACCATTAACTTGTATTTCCTCACAGTCTATAGGAAGTTAGCAGCTTTCACAAGACTAGAACTGTACATTCTGTAATGGTCTTGAATTGAAGTTAATAAAGAAACTAAATTCCAGGATAAAAACAGAACAAGTTTGTATGCAGCTTTAAGGCTGTCTCCCGGGAAGGCAAGGAAAAGGTCCCTGGGTGAAATGGGAGTCTCGGGGCTAGCATTGCCTGTCATCAGTTCTAAGGCACCACAGCCATATGTTAACAGAAGGACTTGTGGACATAGAGTCTGGGTGCGCTGGCTAGTTTTATGTCAGCCTGTTACAAGCAGGAAAGGAGGGCACCTCAGTAGAAAACAATGGCTCCATAAAATCCAGCCGTAGGCAGGCAAGTCTGTAAGGCATTTTCTTAATTAGTAATTGATGGAGAAGGGCCTATTGTGGGTAGTCTCATCCCTGAGCTGGTAGTCCTGGGTTCTATAAGAAAGCAGGCTAGCCAGGCAGTGGTGGCATACACCTTTAATCCCAACACTTGGGAGACAGAGGCAGGTAGATCTATGTGAGTTCGAGGCTAGCCTGGTCTACAAGAGCTAATTCCAGGACAGCTAGGATTGTTACACAGAGACCCTGTCTAAAGAAAAAAAATCAAGCTAAGAAAATCATGAGGAGCAAGCCAGTTAGCAGCCCCCTCCATGACCCCTGCATCAGCTCTTGCCTCTAGTTCCTATCCTTCCATGATGAACAGTGATATAGAAGTGTAAGTCAAATAAACCCTTTCCTCCCCAACTTGCTTTGGTCATGGTGTTTCATCCCAGCAATAGAAACCCTAACTAGCGGTTGGAGAGATGGCTCAGTGGTTAGGAGCACTGGCTGCTCTTCCAGAGATCCTAAATTCAATTGCCAGCAACCAAATGGTGGCTCACAACCATCTGTAATGAGATCTGGCGCCCTCTTCTGGCATAAAGATGTACATACAGACACAGCACTCATACATAATATAAATAAATAAATCTTTAAACTAAGACACTAGGTCTTCTGTAGGAGCAACAAGTGCTCTAAACCACTGAGCCATGTCTTCAGGCCTTCCTTCTTGCTACCCCATTCTCTAGCTGATAGTATAGGCTCCATCTAATCCATTTATGGTTTCCTTTCTCACTTGGCACTGATCCTGTAGATAAACCCTCCCAGGGACCCTGCTCTGCTCCTGGGAGTTGCAGAACTGTTTAAGCCTGGCCCTTTTCTGACCTGCATCTCTAATGACTCAATAGACCATTTCTTTCAGAGATCCCTGCTTTGAGTGTTTGGTTTAACAGTGTACAAGCCAGACAGGATTGGTTTGCCGCAAAACCGGGACCTTAGGTCGTGGCTAACTCTGAGGACAAGAAAATCTCTTTAGCTAGAGGACCCCACTGCAAGGTTTTCTGTTGCAAAAGAAAGACAGTTAACTAGGTCTTATTAAACCTTTCGTCTATGTCTCCCTGGGGGCCTAAAAGTGCTAACGCAATACCAACTAAATTAACAAGAGATGGATAAAGACTGAATCGTCCTGGGACTCCTCAGCAGAGTTGATGTTGTAAAAGTCATTATTAAGAACTTAAGTAGTGTGCCAAGCAGTGGTGGTACAAGCCTTTATCCCAGGATTCACAAGGCAGAGGTAGGCGGATCTCTGTGAGTTCAAGGCTAGCCTGGCCTACAGAATGAGTTCAGGACAGCCAGGGTTGTTACACAGAGGAACCCTGCCTCTAAAGACCAAACAAACAAAAACAAAAGTAAAAGAAACAACAACAACAACAACAAAAAACCTTAGGTAGTTCAGGTGGAAACCTAGTGCAATGTAAACTCCATGGAATCTATGACAGTAACCCTAGCAAAGACTCCTAGTGATGGGGATCATGGCACCTGGACCAGCCATTTTCTGTAACCAGGCAAGGCCTCAAGTGGAGGGATTGGGACACCAGCCCAGCCAAAAAGCTTTCGACCTAAAGTGTGTCCTGCCTTCAGAGTATTCTGGAACCGGAACCTAGAAGAACCATCTATAAAGAGACCAGAGAGACTTCACCCAGCAGCTGATGGGAGCAGATGCAGACTCCCATAGCCAAACGTTAGGTGGAGTGCAGGAAGTCCTGCAGAGGAGGAAGAAGGATTGGAGGAGCCAGAGGAGTAGGGAAATCATGAGAACACAGCTCACAGAATCAACTGACCAGGACTCAAGGGGGCTCACAGAGATCAGGGAGCCTGCAGAGGTCTGACCCAGATCCTCTGCATATATGTAGTGGCTGAGTGGTTTGGTGGTCTTATGGGATTCCTTGTTTGTTTCTTTGTTTTTGGTTTTTTCAAGACAGGGTTTCTCTGTGTAGCCCTGGCTGTCCTGAAACTTACAACGTAGACTGGGCTGGCCTCGAACTCACAGAGATCCGCCTGTCTCTGCCTCCCAAGTACTGGTACTAAAGGCATGCACCACTACACATACCTACAAGGCCTTCTTTCTTATGGGACTCCTAACAGTGGGAGCGGGGGCTGTCTCTGACTCTTTGGCCTGCTTGTGGGACCCTTTTTCTCCTACTGGATCACCTCATCCAGCCTTGATGAGATGGTATGTACCTGGTCTTATTGCAGCATGTTATGCCATGTCTGGTGGCTGTCCCTGGGAGGCCTGCTCTTTTTTTGAGGGGACACAGAGTAGGGGTGGATCTGGGGGAAAGGAGAGGTGGGGGAGAGAGGCTTAGGGAAGGGGATGGAGGGGAAACTGTGGTTGGGGTGTAATATATGAGAGAATTTTTAAAAGGGGAAAAAAAAGAAAGAGAGAGAGAGAGAGAGAGAGAGAAAGTAGGATGAGGTAGGCTGGAGATGGAGCTCTGTGCTCTGTGGCAGAGCATTTGCCTGGCAAGTGGGAAGCCCTGTGTTAACACCACAGAAATAAGAGTAAAAGAAAAATGGAAGGAATGAGAAAAAGGGGCGTCGTAGAGTCTCCCAGGGTGGAAAGCTCAGGTCTTTGCTGAGACATTTGGTGAATAAAATGGGTAGTGAATGGACAGCCCTAACGAGACCACTTAGAAAAGCGAGAGTGGAGGACTTGAGGTGACAGCTGGAGACGGGCTGGTACGCTTGGCCGCGTGCCCTGTAAGTGGTGGCGTCCCTCTTACTCGACTGTATTAGGTGGGGGACGTAGCTTCTGACTGGGCTGTCTTCTTACCTTGTACTGAAAACCAGAGAGCAGGTAAACTGCCCTTCAAATAAAACCCACTGGACTTGCTCTGCAGACCCAGGGAATTCTTGTGAGCCCCCAGTGTGGAGCGGAAGCTGTGGGGCTGGCTGCTCCATTTGATGGTCCTCGGTGGGAGAGTTGCTGGGACTTCATGAAGAGCCTGTGGTAGCCAGTAGCAATTATTGGGACCTTGTTTGGGACTGAGGGAGACTCATGAGTGACGGTCATGGTAGACCTGAATCTGAAGTCAAATGAGCCAAACTTCTTGAGTGTTGTCAGGGAAACCCCGAAGGGACACCCTTGTGCCAAAGGGTTCCACAGAAGAGGGGAAGTATCGGCACAGGGTAGTTAATACAGTCTGGTCAAAGGCGTGAAGAGTGATTCACACCCAAGACCACCTGGAGTTGTGGCTGTAACTGGGCTCTGTGTGTCCTTAGATGGTGTCCTATTGGGCAGCTCTCCACTGACCACTGAAAACTTCTAGGTTTGTGAAAGTTTTTGCTCTTGTGGGAGGTCTAGACAGCGGTTGACACCTGTGTTGGGCAGCGGCCTCCTAGAAGGGCAACAGACCCTGGACGGCTGAAGGGATGTTCGTATGGAGCGCGGCACTGTGGAAGTTGAGGTCCAGTGAGGTGAACACACCAGAAAACTCCTTTCTTGGTTGACCAAGTAAGTGCAACTGACAAGCATGATGGCAGAAGTCACAAAATAATCCCACACGAGTTCAAAATTATAAGTAACAAAGGGTTATTTATTTAGGGGAGACTTACAGATCACTGTCCTAGATAACAGTCCTCTGCACAAATGGGGAACATGAACAGAGTCTAGCAGCCGGAAGTAGGGCCGGAAACAAGAAAGCAAGCGCATGCTTAACAGCTGCATTTATAGTATGAGACTATGCCCAAGTGGACTGGTATCTTAAGGATATTGAAGGAGCGGAGGGAGCCCGACAGTGCAAGCAGACATTTTCCACACTATTGATGGATATATATCCATATATATATCATATATATATATATATATATGATGTTAGCAGACACGGGGATAGCAACAGGGTAAAGAGGGACAGAGCCATGCATGCTCTTCCCACGCCTCAGATACAAACTGCCAGTAGGAACTATCACATTGGCCAGCAACGGAAACCAAGGCTGTGAGGGACACAAGGCGGAGCAGTATGGCGAGACGGGAGCTGCACAAAGTAGGACAGACGTTGGTTACCCCGGCGCTGCAGGTGAATACTGACAGGAGCAGACACCGGTTCATTGTTTATTAATTCATTTATTTTACATCCCAACTACAGCCTTCCCTCCCTCCTCTCCTCCCTCTCCCCATCTCCCCTCCACCCCCCCTCCATCCACCCCTCCCTTGTGTAGAAAGGGGCATGCCTCCCATGGGCATCAGCAAAGCGTGGCCTATCAAGCTGCTGTAAGGCCAAGCACCTCCCGCTGTATTCAGGCTGGGCAAAGTCATCTAGGAGGAGGAGCAGGTTTCCTAGAGCCAGCCAGAGCACCAGGGAGTCCTGCTGGGGAGGAGGAGGGATTGTGGGAGTCAGAGGAAAGCCCCCAGGAATGGCTAGCCTGGCTCATGGGAAACCACAGAGTCTTAACCAACAACCACGGAGCCTGCACAGGACTGACCTAGGTCCTCTGCATGTCTGTGACGGTTGTGTGGCTTGGTCTATTTGTGGAACTCCTGGCAATGGGAACAGGGCTGTCCTTGGTTTGGTTTTTTGAAAGATAGGGTGTCTTTGTGTAAACCTGGGTGTTCTGGAACTCAATCTGTAGGCCAGGCTGGCCTCAAACTCACAGAGATCTGCCTGCTGCCAAGTGCTGGGATTAAAGGCGTACGCCACCACTGTCCAGCTCAGACCTCATTTCTTAACCGAGCTTTGTTTACCCAGGGAAATGTATGTGCTCAGGTGCCACAGAGAACACACAGAAGGTACTGCGGGTTAAGATGACCAAGCATCGTGTTTTTAGACAAGAGACACTCAGTGCAGTCACGACGCCTGTGGTAGGGGACATGGTCCTCAGAGCAGTCGTGTTTGTCCTGGCAGATATGGCCCTGTCCTCTGGCTTTCCTGAGAGACTGGGACAAGGCAGTGGGTGCCATCTGAGTGCAGCTTGCCCCGGGGCGACACCAGCATGAGTGTACAAGCTTCTTTTTCTCCCCTTGCCAGGTCTTTCCTCCTCCAAACCCTGATCTTGGGACCACAAGGGAAGGAGACTGCGCTGAGTCAAGCAAGGGGCGACAGCTGCGTGTCCTTGTCTTATCAGACAAGCTCGCCAGCATGGGATGCAGCTGTAACTCCTGGTAGTGAACATTGTCCACTTGCCCTGAGTCCACCTTATCTGGATGAAGGAGGCCGAGGAGAGGCATCTGCCGGGTGGGTACTGTTGTCGCAGGCTGGCCCAGCAGTGGCCTGCTGCCCCTTCCAAAGGTGGTTTCTGTATTGACACAGAGACTAGTAGCTGGCAGGGAAGAAATGGATACATTGATAGTGAGGGTTGGGGACCAAAGGCTATGTCGGTATCTTCAGAGGCACAGGAGCAGGGCATAGCATTGTCTTTGCTCAGATATGTCAGATGACTGGAAAGGTGAGGCTGTTTGCCAAGACCGCTCCAGTTTCTGGAACCTAACAAGATCAAACGAAGCCTGCAAACACGAGAGGCCTTGCCTTGGGAGACATATTTAGTAGGATGACGGGTGTAACTAATTGTCAACTGGATGGTAATTCTACCGACGTCCTGGGATCTTTGGAGCTGCAAATTGCTTTGATTCGAGGATTTTGTGCTCAAAAGCCAGGAGTGGCCTGAGGAATTAGAGTTTTGGTTTTCATCTCCTCTCCCTACAACTCTCTCCCCAGCACAAGCCATGGACATTAGAATCACTGGCTACAAACATGGAGCGACAAGTGCAGAACTTCAGAGAAGCTGACCCCGTGGAGGGTCCCAGAGGTCAGGCTCCATCCAGAGAACACGTGACGCTCCTATTCCCCTTCCTTGACCTTTGTCCTGCACATCTCTTCTTCTGTATTTTTGTCACCTTCTTTGTAATAAATTAGAAAGCCTGAGTTCTGTGAGCCTCTCTAGCGAATCCACAAAGCTGAGGACCAGGGACTGCGGAGATGACTCAGCGGATAAGGGAGAGGGACCGGGGAGATGACTCAGGGGACAAGGGCCTTGCCAACAAGCCTGATGACCCGAGTTCAGTCCCTGGATTCCACATGACGGATGGTGAGGAGACTCCTGCAAGCTGTCCTCTGTCACATGCACACCTAGGCACGCGTGCACGCGCGCGCACACACACACACACGCACACACACACACACACACACACACACACACACACGCTCTCTCTTCAAACAGTGGAGGGTTTGGAGAACCTGGGGTTCTAGCCAGTTATTTCAAAGTACAGGGAAATATGACTCAGGACGTGAAACTAGAATCCAAAGCTGAATGAGGGCAGCAGCCTTAGGGACTTTGCCGTCCACTGTAGGTGATGTGACTGTTGTGTGTCCCCTTGACAGGCATGAAGGGTTGGCATGTGGAAACACAGGGACAGATGGCATCTGCAAGCAGAGGAGAGACCCCAGAAGAACCAGGCCCTGGGTCCCTGCCATGAGACATTAGTGGTTTTTTTTTTTTAATATTTCATTATTTTATGCAGATGAGGGTTTTGCCGGCATGTATGTCTGTGTACTACACGAGTCCCTAGTGCCTGTGGAAGTCAGAAGAGGCCATCAAATCCCCTGAGACTGGAGTTACAGAAGGTTGTTAGATGGCAGGAGAGCGCTGGGAATTGAACCTGAAGAAAAGCCAGGGCTCTTAACTTCTTTTTTTTTTTTTTTTGGTTTTTCAAGACAGGGTTTTGCTGTAGTTTTAGAGCCTGTCTGGAACTAGCTCTTGTAGACCAGGCTGGTCTCGAACTCACAGAGATGATCCCCCTGCCTCTGCCTCCCGAGTGCAGGGTTAAAGGCATGTGCCACTACCACCTGGCTTTCTTTCTTCCTCTCTTTCTTTCTTTCAATCTTTCTTTTCCTTCTTTCTTTCCTTCCTTCCTTAATTCCTTCTTTCTCTCTTTCTTTCTCTTTCTCTTTCTTTCTCTTTTCTTTCTTTCTTTCTTTCTTTCTTTCTTTCTTTCTTTCTTTCTTTCTTCCTTGCTGAAACTTCCTAGAATTTTGAGCATTGTTTTACAATCTGCCCCTGCCTGTCTTCTTGTCCTTGGTGTCTGTCTTTCGTGGTTTGTAGTATCTTGAATCTTATTTCTGAGGTTGAGTTTTAGCCCTCAATGGGCTGTGGGCTCAAGATTGGTCCCTTTTCCTAGCCTTTGGGGCACTGTCTCATCTGGCAGCGTCAGGTTCCACAGTAGGGACTTGGGGATGGGCTGGATGGGTAGTCGGGGTCAGTTCCGACTTCATGCAAGTTGTGCACAAGCACATCGGGAAGTGGGACAGGGTAGCTGCTGAAATGCCATAGAAGTAGGGGATTCCGCAAGGGGACGGGCTACTTGTCCTCCTGGAGGTGGTGGGGCCACCTGCAGAAATAGGTCTTATGCCTTCTCCGCCCCAAGAAATGCACCCAGCAGAGGAATGACTGCGTGGCAAAGGAACCACACCTCTGCACGCCCTTAATGCTCTAACCTGGGTGGGATGGCTCCCTTGCCTGAGGCTGGTACTCTACGGGGGCACACAGCAGGACTGCCCGGCGGTATCCATTTGGAGTTGTGTGGATAAACCTAAACATGCTAGTCAGAGTGTCCTCACTTAAGAGCACAGGGCCTTCATAGAGCAGCACCAAAGGAGGCCCAGAAGGCTGAATGACCTCTGTGCTGTTGTTCCAAAGCCCTTTGGACAATTAGGGAGTATGTGCGTCAAGACAGTAGACAGGAGGTGTCATCAGCCTGGAACATTATCTAATCACTTCAAACAGATAGTATTCAGGGCTCTGGCAGCCAGAGCCATGCTTCCTCTGGAGTGATTAGGACTTTGAATATCTGGGTGGTGGTGCATGCCTTTAGTCCCAGCACTGGGGAGGCAGAGGCAGGCAGATCTCTGAGTTCCAGGCCAGCTTGGTCTACAGAGTGAGTTCTAGGCCAGCCAGGGTTACACAGCGAAACCGCCTCGAAAAAAACAAAGCAAGGAAAAAAAAAAACTGTCTGACTGTCTGTCCTTCCTTCCTTCAAGACACTACCCGGATGACCTGGCAATGCCCTGCTTATGGGCACAGCATGAACACTGGGAGGGCAGCCTCTTCATAGAAGGTGCCACAGGGAGCCTTCTAGCTGAAGAGTGGAGAGCTTGTCACCTGAATCTGCATGGCTGTTAGGAGATAACATCGTCTCGGGCTGGTGTCTTTTACTCATGCCAAGTCAAGGTGACAGGGAACCCCTCACTACTACTTGTGGTGACTTTCCTCACGGATTTCCTTGTACTGTCTCTTCTGGTCTTGCTCCATCTTATTGGCTTCTGTATTATTCTACATGGGCTTTTTAAGGGGTCTGGAGACAGCTCAGCTCCTGCAGAGGACCTTAGTTCCCATCACTGTGACACAACACCATGACCAGAAAGCAAGCTGGGGAGGAAAGGGTTTATTTGGCTTACATTTCCACATTGTTATTCATCATCAAAGGCAGTCAGGAAAGAAACTCAAACAGGGCAGCAATCTGGAGGTAGGAGCTGGTGCTGAGGTCAGAGGTCATGAAGGTGTGCTGCTTACTGGCTTGCTCCCCATGGCTTTGCTCAGCCTGCTTTTCTTCTCTCTCTCTCTCTCTCTCTCTCCCTCCCTCCCACTTTCCTTCCCTCCCTCCTTTCTTCCTAAGTTGTTTTCAAGATAGGGTTTCTCTGTGTACCCTTGGCTATCCTGGAACTCACTCTGTAGATCAGGCTGGCCTTGAACTCAGGGATCCTCCTGCTTCTGCCATTCGAGTGCTGGGCCTAAAGAGGCATGCCACCACCACCCGGCTTTCAGCTTTTCTTTTTTTTAAAATTAATTAATTAATTTTACATTTCAGTGGCAGTGTCCTCTCCCTCTCCTAGTTCCTACCCCCATCCCTCTCTGCTCCCACTCCCCAATCTGTTTCTGTTTAAGGACAGGTCTCCCCTGAGAATCAACAAAACACATGGTATATCAAGTTGCAGTTAAGACTAAGCACCTCTCCATGCATTAATGCTGGCTGGGCAAGATGACCCAGTATGGGGAGTGGGGTCCCCAAAGTCAGTAAAAGAGTTGGAGGCAGCCCCTGTTCCCGGTTAGGAGTCCCACAATAGGACCAGCAACATAACTGTAACATAGACGCAGAATTCAGCCTGCTTTCTTATAGAACACAGGACCACAAGCCCGGGGAGGGTACCACCCACCATGGGCAGGGCCCTCCCCCATCATTTGCTAATTAAGAAAATGCCTTATAGCTAGTCTTATGGAGGCATTTTCTCAATTGAGGTTCCTTCCTTTCAGATGACTCTAGCCTGTGTCAAGTTCATGTAAAATTAGCCAGGACAGCACCTATGTTAGGAAACTCAAATTGCTTGTGAATCCTCTTCTCAAAGGCTTCTGACTTCTCTAAGTGCCTGCACTCACATGCATGTACCCACACATACACACAGAGCCATAATTCATGATATTTTTAATTGAAAAACTTGTTATATATTAAGGCTAATAAGCTGAACTTGACAGGTACTAGAGAGGTTGGACAGTAGGACTGCAAGTTCAAAGCTAGCCTGTACTATAAAATGAAGGGGTTCAAGGCCAGCATGAACCAAAATAAAACTTACAGGGGGATGGGAATTAGAGCTGTGTATCTTAGTGGTGGAATGCTACGCATTAGCATGCCTGAAGCCTGAAGTTCAGCCCCTTGGTACCACACCCTCAAAGCTGCATCCTGACTAAATCATTCTTGCTGAGTGTATGGGTGAGCACCTTTAATACCAGCACTGTGGGACGGGGGAGGAGGGTCTTTATGAGTTTGAGGCCAGCCTGATCTACACAGCCAGGTCCAGACCATCCAGGCTACACAGTGAGACTCTATTTTGGAATTTAAAAAAATATATATATATTCTTAACACCTTGCATATTTTTCAGACATTTCTGCCCAACTGTTTTTGGTGGCTGCCTGCTAATGTTGCTGGAGGAAAGCGGGTAGGTAGGTGCTTCAGAAAGGTTCAAGGACACTTTGGATTCCTGCTCCCACGCTCTTGTCTTCCCAAATCCAATCCAGCCACCTTCATGCTGTCCTACACTTTCCCCATGTTTGGCCCTGGGTGTTTTCTGGATTTTGTCTCTTTCTGGAGGCTAGAAGCATGAGGAAGCTCTGATCACTGCCCTAGCTAACCTTCAGAGCTATGGGCAGACACCTCTGCTACCCAAGCCAGACCCCAGGCTGAGCCTGCAGGGTCTTCAGAGCAAATGTTTGCCTGCTCTAAGGCTAAGGTCAGGAAACAGAAGTGTTGGCAGATGGAATCACAGACACTAACCCATTAACCTGTATAACAGTATCATGTAGATTCCGTGTAGCAATGACTAGAAACACACACACACAGACATGCATGCACGCACGCACGCATGCACACATGCGCACACAGACAGACACACACACTGCTGGATTACATGTGATCCTGTAAAGGTGCAGACTAATGTAAGCCAACCTTCTCAAACTGTTCATAGTGGCACCCAAACCATGCTTTCTTCCTCTTGGTCCTTTCTGGAGTGTCCTGGTGGCAGTCCCTAGCCTCAAGCCTGCCAGCCTCTGTCATGCTGCATACTGCACCCCTACCCCAGGCTCTGTCATGCTGCATACTGCACCCCTACCCCAGGCTCTGTCATGCTGCATACTGCACTCCTACCCCAGGCTTTGTCATGTTGTATACTGCACCCCTACCCCAGGCTCTGTCATGTTGTATACTGCACCCCTACCCCCCACCTCCAGCCCTTTATCTGCCCAGCTGGTCAAGTAGCTAAGTCAGGTTGTAGCCTGGATACTGAGGAAAGCTGGCACACAACTGAGGTTGTAGCCACTCTGACTTCTCGCTCTGGTCACATGAACAGAATGGCCTGGAAGAAGCTGGGGGCAGCCCTC